GCATACCGAAGCCGAACCGATCAGAAAATCAAATCAGTGTGTAAGGACATGGACGGCAGGGGCGTAGGCTGGTCCCCATCTGGGGGAGGGGGTGCGAAAATTGTAAATGCGGGATCAGTGTCGTAACGAAGAGGCCGAAAAGCCCGAGCCATGCGCAAGGACCGGGGGGGGGGCGCAAATGACCCCCGGCCCCAACTGCGCCGTTGTTTGTAGCGTGTTCTGATGTATTTTAATGTCTTTTTGGCACAATTGGGTTCTTAATTTTGTATCGTGAATTGACAAAATAAGCGTTGGCCTAAGTCTAATATATTGTAATTGAGATAATACTTATTGTTTCATTTTTATTGTATTATATAAAATAACTCATTAAATAAAGTTTAAAACGTGAAATCAAAAGAACAAAAAATGTTTGTATTCTTACTAATTATTATTGTTGCATGTGTTATTGGTTGAAAAGGTACACAGAATTATGAAAGTAATTAAAAAATAATAATAATATCGGCGTCATTTGATGTATTTTAAAAAACCATGATAACATCTAAAAACCATTAATTCACATTAGGCTGTTGCTTCGACTACACATTTCTCCAGTGTAATGTGGTATACGGTATGTTCTATAGTCCTACTGTACGGAAGAATCCTGTTTAAGGATTTTTATTTATTTATTTTTTATTTATTTTTTTGCTCAGACCCCCAGATTGAGGCAAACGTCAATGAAATTTGATCATTCCAACGATCTACCCTTTTTTCATATTGTCCTCACGTTTTTAAATATTCAAAAATCATTATCTCATTAACCGTTTTTTTTTTTTATCTCATTAACCAAGCTTTTCGTTCATCAAAGTTAAGACGTCTGTATTTCTATTGGCAATCAATTATCTTAATTTTGTCTTTTTAATTGTGTTTTAAAACTATTCGATAAAAATACATTTTTGAAAATTAATGTAAAATTTACTGTACATTTTTTTTTTTTTTTGTCTTGTGTGGGGGCATCCCACATTTATTTCATATAATCAATCATTCTACAAATCAAACATGAAAATCTAACTAAATGCTACGATACTTCAACTTGCAATATTTATTTGCCCTAATAATTTAAATTTCAAGGCATCTTATTCCCATTGTTATTGCATTTTAATAGCCTATACAATTAGAAAAATATAACCTATCTCAATCGATGTTATGCAGTATCAACGCAGTCTTACGCAGTTCTAGGTTTTTATGTTTTAAGTTTTATGCAGTCCGCCCAATAGTGCGAATCAGTATTATTTTTCTCACAGTCATAAGCATGCGCAGTAAAAAACTTCGTAGTTAATTATTGAACTGCGCATGCCTGTAATAAAAGTGATCGCATTGTGGGCGAATTAGGATAGGAAACAATAGTTTGTTTTATTCAAAAAGTTAATAATTGTACGCATCTTTTAAATATAAATTTAACTTCGACCATTATGAAATAAATGTTCTGACAATATGAAGAATACACTGTATTTATTTAGAATTACGATGTTTATTCATATATTGTATGGGATAACAATTAGCTTTTATTTTGTTTTACGATTAAACATATCACAGGTTTATATGTTGTTGGCGTAATCGAGTTTTACTTGCTGCCCTGCAAATTTTCCATTGTGGTATAGGCAGGCCTAGGCCTACACCAGCGGAACCTTTTTGCCTTTTAAGGGGGAGGGGGAGGATGCGGCCGCACTCTTCACACCACCCCTCCCCACCCCCTCCACAGCCTATGCCTCTGGACGGCGTTCAGCGCCTTGGAAATGCGGTCAAGAGAACGCCGCGCGTCCTTCTCTTACAACTGATTCATGATTTTCTGTTCGGTAGGCTTCAATCCAAAAATTCGGATTTGTGTGATACCCATTTATTGTATAATTAAAGAGTATTTTGCAAGAGGTCCGACTGTTGTGGTTTCTTTGGAACGTAGTCCTATATATTTCTAAAAGCAGTGTCACGAAGGGGCGTGTCCTTAAAAGACGAGTTTCGAGCAAACTCTCTTGGAATTTTAATAGGGCGCCCTCGGGCAGTATTTTTTTTTTACGTTCCATTACCACACAATCAGGACAGTCGGGCCTCTTGCAGTTCACTCCTTGTACAATCATACATCGGTGCTGTGTGTCATCGATTCGGCCTGACCAGTGGTATCGTGGGATAACGTAACGCCTTTGTCATATTTATTGGCAATTTCGTATGATTGTGTACTACATGACAAGCTAGAAAGACATGATGTAACAAATGCCTTGAAATCGCCAGGACGAACGGAGAAAAACAAAAACACGAATAATCCTTGAAGCGAATTAAAAACACAAAAAAGAAGTTGCATCGAGAATCTCAAATTTGAGCTGGTTGATTTTGCTATTGCTGTAAATCCAAATACCCAGGTTAAGCCAAGCAAAATGGACAAACCAATGGCAGTTGATACCTGCTCTTTCGCAGTCGCAAACTTGCTTTTGTCGTTCTTTCGTGTTATTTGGCGGCTTCGTGAACATGTAAGGACGCAGATGACAAGTATGAAGATGACGAGGTTTGTGAAAAACAGAGCGCCCGCTATGGCTATATTACCATAGTATAAAACTGGACCTGGATTGATGAAGCAGCTGTAATAAAGAACAACAAAATACAATAATAAATCCTAGGCTTATATTGTATGTTTTAAACATGAATTATTGTAACGTAGTTTTATATTTTGTCTATACATTTGTACAGGACTTTATAAGTTATATAAACAGAAACATATTCAGCCGCAGCAGCAGCAGCAGTGTAGTAGTAGCACTGTGTGGTGGTGGTGGTGGTGGTGGTGGCAGCAACAGCAGCATTCGGGCAGCAGCAGCAGTGTTAGTAGTAGCAGTAGTTGCTGCACGGTGTTATTATTATTGTCGTAGCTTCGCCCTGGCTCTCAGCATCCCCACTTCTACGAGCCCAGTTCAAAATAAAGTTGAAGTAAAGTTAGGCCTACATTAATGCAGAACAGAAAGGCAATTTTACAGGTGGAGGGTCGAGACTGACCAGCTCAGCCCGAAATTGTTTGGCCCATTATAAAGTACCGTACAAGATTGAAATTTACGGGCAACTAGCAACAAATATATAATATATATCTAATACCTTTAAAAATCATGGTATTGAAATGGTTGTTGATATAGCAGAACACCCCCCCCCCCCCGCCTCCCCGCCAACTATGACTGCTGTGGGACCGCGAAATTTTAAGTGGGTAATGGTACCCAGTCTGAAAAAAGGCTTGAAAACCTGGGATTTAGATATAAGATATTAAAAATAGGTAAAACTCCAGGAGGCTAAGCCGCCTTTTTTCAACTACAGTAGGTTCCGCCCCATTATTTATTAATTATACATTCGACACGTAACAAATCCAGATGTGTGCCATGAGAACTATTATTATTATTATTTATTATTTATTTATTATTATTATTATTATTATTATTATTATTATTATTATTATTATTATTATTATTATTATGTATCTATCCGTTAATATTGCGTTTAAAAGATAGATATTATTTGAATGTTAATTACGATCATTTCCAATCTGCGACCTATAAGCTTTAGCATAACTTTGGCTCCAATATGTGTGAGCGTTTCAGTCAGTTGTAGGAAAGAAATTGCCTGGGCTTTCGAGATTACAAAAAAACCTGTTTATGTTTGTGTTGTGGATGTTCTAAATTTTGCCCAGTTTTTTAATTTGTAACTGTTTACGCGATTGTCTTGCATTCATATTTTGACAGTTACAAACAGAGTCTTTTGGCTCTCTGTTTGTAATTTTATATATTTTTATGAATAAAGACATTGAATATAGATAAATAATACTAATGGTGCTGAAATAGGAACATACTATTATTATATTGTATCAAGCATAGACTATTTTTAACTTGTATGTTTGATATTTTTTCTGAAATACCGTTTATATAATAAAATATGCACCGTGATAATGCCTACTTTAGTGGGTAATAGATCTATTTCCAATGTATTTCTAACTCCATGAGCTTTGATGAAAATAAAAGGAGTGCTTTTACGTTGATCAATGCAGGACAGTAGGCTAGCCTGTTAAGTCAGTATAGGCCATAGAGTTATAACAGCTCTATGGTATAGGCTCAACGTAATTTTAAGTGTGGCAGATACATGTAGATTTTTTAGTCTGTTTATGATTCTAAAATAATGTATACTCACTAATCTGCGTTCGAATAGCTTTCCCTACTGACGATTAAACATATCACGACCGGAAGTACAGGAATCACTAAAAGAGTTATATAAGCTGTCTCTTATACACATCTAGATGTGTATAAGAGACAGAAATACAACTTTGGAACAAGAGATACATTCGCCTGATGGCGCTAGCTGTTCATAAGATCAAAAACATATTTAGGCCTACGTCACTTTCTGTTCTTTGTGCAGTGGTTAGGTTCTAAGAACGCGGGTCGCGGCGGTCACGGATGAATGAATTATTAAAATGCAAATACACGAGTGTTGCCCCCGTCGGGAACCTCACATCCCCATCCCCCACAGTCTGGCAAATCCTGGCGCCACCCCTGGTCGGGAGGTTAAACCGCACGCTGACCATTGGCCGGACATGCTTATATGACGCTATTAGGGAGCTTTAAGGCCTGTTTATACTTCAACGATAACGATAAAAAAGCTAAAAAGCAATTGGTTATAAAAGAAATAATAGAAGTTTATACACTAGAACGATTCGATAACGATTTATCAGTTATGCGATAACAACATATTTTGACAAATCAAATCAGGGAAACATTAAAATCGTCGTAGTAGCAACGATTTTATCATTTGTCCATGATTATGACGTCATCTGATTTGATTTGTTAAAATATTTTGTTATTGCATACACGATAAATCGTTATAGAATCGTCCTAGTGTAAAAACTTCTCTTATTTCTTTTGTTTTCTATATAAACAATCGCTTTTTAGCATTTTTATCATTATCGTTATCGTTGACGTGTAAACAGGCCTTTACATTGCGCGCGCCACAATGTGACCATCGTATAACGCATACGTAGTGTTCGCCGGTGTTTGATACCCCAACTTGCACTGTTGATTCGGTTTATCCCTAAGTGCAAGTATTTTTCCACTATCTTACGGATCCGAAAATATTTGATCTGGTGTGTATGCATCTTAAATTTTGGTAATATCAAAGAGTGTAGAACTGCAAGAGATCCGACACTCGGGGTTTTGTTGGAACGCAATCCAATTTCATAAAGTACTGCCACGAAGGGGCGTGTCCTGTATAATTATTCAGTCAGTTATGAAAAGTTCAAACGTACCCCATCCGAATATGTATGCTTTCATCCTAAATTTGGAGATATACGTCGGGAAGATCCTCACCAATGATAGGTAGATATTCACTGCTTGTATTGTCATCCATGAAATTGATGAAATCGTAAGATAGTGAAGAAGTACAGAAATACAAATACAGGCGGGTTTGTGCGTTGTCTGTTCAATACCGACGACGAAGACGAGGTAAAGCAAAAACAGTGCTATTGCAAAATTTAGCAATACCAATTTGGGGCGAGCAGAGTGTTGCTCCCTGCAAAAAAGGAGATACTGTATACTTATTTTCTAAATTAAGTAAATCAGCTAATTAACCTTTGAATAACTAATCATAAAATGTATAAATATTAATTAATTAGGGGTTTTTTTGGGGGGGGTTTTATTGTTTTGTTTACTTAAACGTCACATCAGAGCAAATATCGTACCCAAGATGTAGCCAAACCTGCCGTCTTTGCTTGTGTCATTTCAAATAATAACCGATTTGATTTGCATTTTTTTTAACAATGACACTTGTCAATTTCAGCAAGCGGATATAAAGTTGAATCAATCTTTTCTCCAATTCTTCTTTCAGATTGACAACTGCAATTACTGTAACATTATTATTGGTACAATTTGAGGTAAATGTATACCTTGAAAAAGGCGTCGTATACCGGGTGTATATCAGTGTACAAATGGTTAAGATCAATGCTGTAATTGATACACAACAGCCAATCAAGCTTATCACGGATAACACGTGATGACGTTTGGAGATAATGTCAGTCTGGCCATGGAAATCCTGTGTTAGAAAAGTTTGTATAAATTACTCAAATCATGTTTATTTCCTCCATGCTGAAATTATGTAAAACTAAATAGGCCTACCTACAATAAACACACAGTATATAACTTTCTGTACGAACTATCGGATTTTATATGACAAGTTTGTGTGATGTGCCCATATCATGAGCATGATAATGTCATATTACACTCAAATATGGGCATATTTATTTGTCATATATAAATTCGATAAAGCGTGGACAGAGCGTATTGTTGCACAATTTGTGACAGAACCCACTAGGCTTCCAATGAGTCAAACCACCCAAACAATATAAAGACAACATGTCATCAGATGAATGAATATGAAGTTAATGAAAGTAATGTTTACTGGAGCTACGTGATTTCCAACGAACAGCTCTATGGAAACGCATGCACACAACCAGATGAATTATATGTGTACATGTGTGTACACACAAAACATACCTGGATTGGATATGTGATAAGAAAAGAAAAAGATGACCCAACAACAGTTTTCAAATTCCATGATACACTACAGAAAAGAAGGGGTAGGAAAATTCCATCTATTTCTCAACCGAGTTGTGAAGGAAAACTAATTGGACAGAGGAAAGTTTATCAGGGAATGCCTTCAATAGAAACGCTCAATTGACAGCCACTTTATATTTAGCTGTGCACTGATTTTAACCATTTTTATATCAATTACGACATTATTGTTGTCTCTATATGATAATGACAGTGCTGCTGTTACTTCGCTTCAAACTTTATGGTTTTAAAAGCAGTAATAAGCTGGCTATTTACCAGTACCACGGAATCAGAAAGTGATTCATGATATAAAAATCACAATTTCCTATCACCTGGTTCACCACATGATGTTATATATCATGTTATTATTAACTTTAATATTAATTTCATTGATTCAGTCCTCAAATAATATTTATCAACGCTTACCATTAATACGGCGAAGTTTGTCAAGTGATCACAATGACAAATTACACGCCCATCTTCAGTCGTGTTGTACACGCAACCTTCGTTTGACCAATCACCGATGCCGTTTTCAAGTTTAAAATCCCAGAATACACATCTAATGTCTTGTTCAGACACCGATTTGTTTATCTTTGAAATATATATTTTTTTATAATATTGTTTAGTTATATAAGAGTGATTAGCAAAAACACAGACACCATCTACTATCTTAAAATCAAGCTTTAGAGATTTTTTTTTAAAAAACAGGGGAGTGTGTAAAAACGGTGGTTACGCCCCTTTTCCCCTAGTTAAAAAAAAAAATAGTCTGTCTTAGAAAAATCAGTTCTACAGCATATCAATTTTTTCCATCCAGAGCCTGACTTTAAAAATAATTTACAATTCTAAACTAAGCTGGTTTTAATAAAAACAAAATAATATTGACATTCTCTACGTTGTCTGAAGGTTAAAGGTTAAACAAAATTACACTACAAAATGACATAGTAGGCCCTCTATAATTATAACTCCATGTTTAACCATTAGAAAATAATTATTTACAGACGATTGAGGGGCACAACATATTAACAGCTAATACCCAACACATTTCCTATGCATTTAGGTCTACAGATACCTGTAATTGCGTAATTCATTACCGTACTTACTGTCGGAGTATAAACCCCAATAACTGGATTTTTAAAAGTATTTGACTCCATTCCATGAACATTGGCTGATATAACTCTGCTCCCAATCGTCCAATTTTTATTGCCTTTGCTTGTAATTGAAAACAAAGTAGATTGCTTATAAAGAACAAATACGCTGGGAACATTTCCATCTTCTCGATGTACCGTGCCAACATCAAACGCTTCAGCTGGTAACTTCAAAGATGTATCTAATTCGGTTACAGATTCACTTGAATATTTCTCAGATGGAACTACTAAAGCAGGCGAATTTTCCGACAAATAAAACACAACCCCATTTGAAGCGAAGTCTTCCTGCAATTGTACCACCTCGATGTCAAGATTCTTGCTACTGAAAGTGTAATTTAAGCCAACTGATGCAACCGTAGCTAGCTGTTCCTCTAAGGATTTAATGATAGTGGATGATGCAGAACGAGATTCCTCAGACACATCTGTCACTTCGTTACTAATTTCTAAGAGATTGTCAACACTAGCTGCAACTGATGTTGTCACCTGTAAAAGAGAAATTGCTATTATTATATATATATATATATACATACATATATACCTGTCTCTTATACACATCTAGATGTGTATAAGAGACAGATTTGCTCCACTAACCCCCTTCCCCCGTCGGGGCCCTTAGCCCCTCTGTCGGGCAAGTCCTGGTGCCACCACTGACTAGAAGTAAAAAAAAGAAAGACATAGGAAACTGTGACCATTGAAGTATTATTGAGAAGGAGATCACTCTGGGGGGAGGGGAAGCAACATTTGGATAGGCCTAAGTGAGTAGCACATAACATAATATGCACTGAAATTTAAAAAAATTAGTGGCAAAACGGGGAGGCACGTGTTGAACACCCCCAACCCTCTCCACTCCTACTGGATCTGCAGCTGTTGATCTGCCCAGCATCCCTTCCCCCTACTGAATTCGCCCCTGTTGATTTGTCGTGTTTACGTAAATTCGAGGTGTTGATTGGTGGAGCTGGCTTGACCCTAAATTTCCACTACTCCATTATTACCGGATCCCTTGTGGTTTTAAATTTAAGTACTAACCTTTGCTATTTAGACAATAATAATTTAGCTTTCTTACCGTTTGGTGTATTAGACGGACACACTTCAGAAGAATTTGCGGTTGAGCCAGATGGAGTAGCTATAAAATGGTAACTTAAGTTTCCAATCTTCACAGTGTCTTCTTCGCAATCTTAGGTAAATATTGAGATAAATGCGTAAATTATGATTAAATATACTATATCTAAAGTATGGTTCTAATCATTTTCCTAATATTTATGTAATTTAATCTTCGTCTATATTTTGTATTTATTTAAATTGCATACTTTTTTTAATCTAATATTGTAAGTTCAAATTATGTTGACTATCATATACATAGAAATACCAATGGAATCACCCTTAAATGTTTAAATAAATACATACAATAATCTAACGATTTCAGTTAATTGTTTTCACCAGAATTTTGTTTTTAAATCTTTATGGAATGCAATTTATAGTACCTAAGTTATTATTTTGTTGTGTACCCTATTTATTATGGCATGTTGCAAAGAAAAGTTGATAATTTTATAAAATATAAAAATATTTTTGTATCACTAAATTTCATAGGTCTTAATCTCTACCATTTGAATTTATCTTTCATTTTTCAGTTCATAATCCGATCCTTTTCTGTCATTGTCTCGTATTCCGTTTTCCTACCGCATTCTATTCCTATCACCTGAACATTGTATGTTTCTTTATAAATGACTATTACTCTCTCTTATTCTCTTTCTCGTCTTCTAATTTTCTAGTTTCATTAACACATATCAGGCCTGTATCAAGGGGGTGTTTTATGGTTCGGAAGAACTCCCTTGCCTAGCCAGCCCCCACTCTTTTCTGGCAAAACCGCCTCTTTAAATTTCCCAAATAAGTCCTCCAACCTAACGAATGCACTGCAGACCCACCCAGGCACAAGACATTTTCAAAAATATCTGCTTTGGCATTATTTAGACCCATAAAGCACAAAAATCCTCTTGCTTTGGGGGTTTCGCCGACCCAACCAGGGCTTTGTGGACCTCACGCCCAGAAAACCCCGCTTGGAAGAGCCTGGCTACGGGCCTGCATATGATGTATGGTATGTTGCTTATTAGACAAGAAAAGGAGGTAGAATTCACTAGAATAACTTACTGTTAGGGTATTGGTATATGTAGTTCAAACCAAAATCATAAATTTTCTGACCGCACTTAAAGTCATGAAATGTTTTCTTCTGTGATTTATCTTTAATCCTCATTACCACCCCTGCACAATCATCGTTAACGACATTAGGTTCTCCGCCTGCCCAGTTGTCATACTCTAGCGCTATGCCCGATGTCCATGTCCAATTATTTAATAAACCTCTATTAGTATTTGCTTTTCGAGACAATCCAATGTAAAACCATACGTTAATGTATTTCTCCTCTATTATGTATTCTAAAATAGCATCCAGCTGTTTTTGTGACGTAATGCTCGCTAGTCTATGTCCATTTTCCAATGTATTGGCTTCGTTCCATGTGACAAATTTAGAGTTTTCCACGTAGACGACAACAAAACAATGGTTTTCAGATATGACACCATTACAACCTGCATCATAAGCAAACTTTGAATCATGGAAAAGGCCATCCACATAACTTTAATATATTATCATAGAAACATCAATATAATATATTATATATTATTCCCTTATTTCAACATCACACAACAGTGACTAAGGTCGTCCATATTAGTTGAATATAATTAAAAATGAAAGACCAAAAAGACGCAATAATACTACGGGAAACAAGATGATTCAGATTGTATCAAAGGATGTACATATCAACAACACCATCTTTAACATCATCATCATCGTCATCACAATAATAATAATAATAATAATAATAATAATAATAATAATAATAATAATAATAATAATAATAATAATAATCATTATCGTGGTCTGCGTCGTCGTCGATCATCATCCTCGTCGTTGTTGTCATCACCATCATATGATTAAATACAATTACAGGTATCCGGAGGTTTCACAATCTTACGAAACGATAACAAATGCAGTTAATACAAGTTTAACATTTTTATGCAAATATAAATAATTACTGCGTCCCAGCGTATTTTATTTGTATTAGAATCATCGATCATTGCTATTAAATGTGGTATTATTTTTACCAACTTTTAGAAATCGGAACGATCGGATACTATGACCATAATAGAATTGTCAACATATAAATTTAACGAAACTGTCGTGACCCAAAAATTAAAATATTTTTTTCTAAACGTACGTGGTGTCGATGTTGACGTATTTGTTATATGGGTGCTTTCGATTTCTCGACGATAAGACTTAGAGCGACACATTTTTCGCCGTCTGAATTTCTAGGACATAGTTTGGTCCGGTCACAAATGAGTGAATCCGTTTACGTCCTCGAGCAATTTAATGTTTTGTAAGGTTGCGAATCCTATTCCACTACTAATTATAAAACCAAGATCACGTGGAACTAAATATATTATGGTATTAGGCCTACTCATTACTCTATGGAAAAAAAACTGTTGCCACAGAACATACCATATGCACATCGACAAATGAAGACCTAAAAATAAAAGATAATGTTTATGATAATAGAATGTTATCAATTCTGAAAATAGATAAACATGGGAAAATAATACGTTACGAAGTACAATACAAACATTACTGACACAACATGGCTTTTGTACTATTGCAGACACGTCAGAGTCTAAAGATTTTGAAATCCCAGTAACTATTTTAAGGACAGGGAGCTAAAAGTTAAATCTAGCATGTGTAGACCATTTTTCGCAAAATTTGAAATGAAAATTTCCGATAACCTGGCAACTACCACTGGGGAAAGAGGCCTACGCACTTCGCGCTACCCCGTTACCAGTGTGCGCACGACGCTCTCTACCTGACACATTGTGCTGCTCAGGCTTGGCTAGGCCGCTGGAAGTCCCCCAGTGAGTTGCGAGAGGTTGACAGGGCTGTATAAAAAGAAACCCGATAAAATGGTCTGTATAATAATGGGATTATTAACAATGGCCATTTATTCAGTCGGAGGTCTACAAACGACCTCACTAAAATAATTATATCTAAACCTAATTGATTTCTAGAGAATTGTTTATAGATGCTCATGCTTTGAAATCATCGTTTGTGTGTGATTTTTGGCTTTTTTCCACTGGCAGGATGTTTAAACTTTGTACAACTTTTGTTTTTTTTTAACCATTAAGATTAATATTTTTTTAAGATTTGAATTTTGTATTTCTGGATGTTTTTTTCTCTTTTCTTTTACTTTTTTGTTAAATTCCCTGATATTTCTGTTTACCTTTGCGATTCCTATTTTACTTTTGTTCACATGTATTGTTATTTTATTAAGTAAGTTTGGACGCCCCACGGATTAGTGTGTGCTTAGCCTGGTTCACGTCGAACTTTATCTAGATATACCCGTCTTGAAACATGATACGATAATCCCCTAAT